GTGAGTTAAGGATAAGTAATAAAGTGAGAAATCAATGACTCTGTAGTTGGAAAGGAGCAGTACCTTATTCTTCCAAAGGAGAGGACTTCTAATCTCTAAGAGGGAAGGAGTGTTCTCCCCACTGAAATGATGCCTCCCCAAAGAACAGCGGCTCATCCCAACCTTTCTTAAGACACTGCAAACATCACTTGTGAGGCACAGGTTGCTCAAGGCTGGTCAAGGGCAGTGAAAAGCAAACTAGGGTTGCTCCCCAAGGTCTCATATCCAATCCCCTAGTGCTGAGGGGATAGATCGCCTCACCTGTGGCCCATTATGTGCATGGGATGCAGTCAGATCAAATTCATGAGACTGGGTAAATCACAGCTTCCAATCAACATGGCTCTTGAGTTCCACACTATCTTAGTCCCCACTGCCCTCAAATACAGTAAGTCCCTCATGCCCCAGGTGGTAGCATATTAGGCTGAACTGCAGAGACCCCAAATTTCCTCTCCTTTGTTACCAAAAAGAGGACTGGCTAATCCATTTGTGTAGTATAAGCCAAATAAATGTACTGATATTTGCCCTTTAGCCTGGGTTTTCCGTCTGGCAGGTTCAAACTCAAAGTCTAGATTAGGGGAATCTAGTCAACTGTCCAAGCTTCAGCTTCCAAAATAGTTTTCCCAAAGCCTTGTTTTGGGGTAATCCAGCTGACACTGTACTTAAACAAAATTTGTGCTGAAGTTACATTGGTGGCCCCAAAGGATTCATCGGTTTGGGTAATCCCCTCCCCTTGAATCTAGGTTTAATCAACAAAAAATGAGGCAGAAACAATGCTGTGCCAGGTCTAAGCCTGTCCTTAGGAGCTTTGGTGGCTTCTGCTTTTGCACTCCAGTGAGCCCTAAGCCTCTAGCAACCAGGTAGGGTTGGCAACCTTACTGAAATGGCCACATGGACAAAAAAGGGCTGACAACTACAGGGGGAACAGAGAGGAAGGGAGGAAGGGAGGGAGAGAGGGAGAAAGGGAGAGAGGGAGAAGGAGAGAGTATCCAGACATTAGAGCAATAATTTTCAATCAGCATGCAGTGAGAGGATCTTAGGTGTGCCGCAACATTTTTTAAAGAGCATCAATTAAATTATTTTCTTTTCCTTTTATTTTTCTTTTTGAGACAGAGTCTGACTTTGTCGGCCTGGGTAGAGTGCCACGGCATCATACCTCACAGCAACCTCAAACTCTTGGGCTCAGGTGATTGATTCTCTTGCCTCAGCCTCCCAAATAGCTAGGACTACAGACACCGGACACAATGCCTGGCTATTTCTTTTTTTTTTAGAGCTTGAGGTCTTGCTCTTGCTCAGGCTGGTCTCGAACCCATGAGCTCAGGCAATCCACTCACTTCAGCCTCCTAGAGTGCCAGGATTACAGGTATGAGCTACTGCACCTGGCTAATTAAATACCTGTCAAAAGAAGTTCAAAGCACAGTAAATACATTCTTTTTATTATTCTTCTTTTGATCACCATAATTTAAGTGTGGCATGAAAGTTCAACTATAGGTTCAAGTGTGCCATGAAATAAAAAAGGTTAAAAAACACTACATTAGAGTGTGATCACCAGCAAAACAGGACAACTGCCCATTGAGCCTAGCCCAGAAGAGCCTCACTGTGAACAAATAAAATGGTCGTTTTAAGTGACATACAGTTGTTTATTCACAGCCCTAGATAACTGAAGCAATGCTCAGCTAGTTCCTTGTGTTTTTCTGTAATTTGTTCAAATCTCAACGATAAGGAGGGGTATAATTAAACGCACACCACAAAATTCATACAACCTCAAAAGATGAAAGTCTTATGCCCTTCTCGATATTACTGATTCTACTAAAGTCCAAGTTCCACAAGGACAGTCTTCATGTCTGTCATCTCAACACTAGACCCCAGCACCGAGCACAATATCTGGCATCTAGCATAACACCAGAATGTGTTGTGAGTGAATAGTAGGTTTAAGAAATGTCAAGATTAAATCAACAAATGCTAGTCTTCCTTTTAAAACTTAGAAACTTTGGCTCGGCGCCTATAGCTCAACTGGCTAAGGCGCCAGCCATGTACACCTAAGGTGGCGGGTTTGAATCTCCAGCCCGGACCCGCCAAACAACAATGACGGCTGCAACCAAAAAATAGCCAGGTGTTGTGGCGGGCGCCTGTGGTCCCAGCTACTTGGGAGGCTGAGGCAGGAGACTCGCTTGAGCCCAGGAGTTGGAGGTTGCTGTGAGCTGTAATGCCACGGCACTCTACCCAGGGGGACAGCTTGAGGCTCTGTCTCAAAAAAATAAAAATAAAAATAAAAATAAAAATAAAAAAAAATAAAAAAATAAAAACTTAGAAACTTTATGACATATGGTTTTACATCATACATTTCCCAGAAAGTTGCTTAAACATATTAATTTAAAGTGTATACTGGCTCGGCGCCTGTAGCTCAGTGGCTAGGGCGCCAGCCACATACACAGGAGCTGGCAGGTTCAAATCCAGCCCAGGCCTGCCAAATAACAATGATAACTACAACCAAAAAAAAAAATAATCCGGCATTGTGGTGGGCACCTGTAGTTCTAGCTACTTGGGAGGCTGAAGCAAGAGAATCGCTTAAGCCCAAGAGTTGAAGGTTGCTGTGAGTTGTGACGCCACGGCACTCTACCCAGGGTGACAGCTTGAGACTCTGTCTCAAAAAAATAAATAAATAAATAAAAATAAAGTGTATACTAAGAAAATCTTCTAATGGTTTATCTTTGATTTTTTTAATGGTAGCGCTTATTATGTAATGGCAAAAATCATGAAATACCATTATACAGGTTGAGTATCCCTACCGAAAACCTAAAATCCAAAATACTCCAAGAAGCACCTCCTTTAAGAGTCATGTCTGTGCTCAAAAACTTTCAGAATTGGGAGCATTTTGGATTTCAGATAGGAATACTCAACCTGTATATGCTTAGATTTTGATTTCTATGTTCAAAAGAATACAAATTTTCAAAGACTAGGCTTTTAGAAAAGCTAAACTTCATCTGTAAAAGTAGAATTAAAAACAAATTTTCAAAAGGAAATTAATACCTACAATTTCACCAATGTACTTTTCTAGACAAGAAATCAACTTTCGCTCTATCCTTGACAAAAAGATAACTATTCTGTTATCCTCATAAAATAAAATGAGGAAAATGCTCATATGTTTCCAAATCACTTACCAATAACCAATAAATGGCAATGAGGTTACCATTTTATCACAAAAAGAGGAAACAGACAAGGGCCAGGAGTGGTGGCTCACGCCTGTAATCCTAATACTCTTAGAGGCCAAGGTGGGTGGATTGCTTGAGCTCAGGAGTTCAAGACCAGCCTGAGCAAGAAGGAGACCTCCATCTCTACTAAAAACATAAAAACTAGCCAGGCATTGTGGCAGGCACCTGTAGTCCCAGCTCCTCAGGAGGCTGGGGCAAGGGGATGACTTGAGGCCAAGAGTTTGAGGTTGGGCTGGGTGTGGTGTCTCATGCATCTAGCACTCTGGGAGGCCAAGGCGGGTAGACTGCTTGAGCTCACAGGTTCAAGACCAGCCTAAGCAAGACCAAGACCCTGCCTCTAAAAATAGCCAGGTATTATGGCAGGTGCCTGTAGTCCCAGCTACTCAGAGGAGGCTGAGGCAAGAGAATCGCTTGAGCCCAGGAGTTTGGGGTTGCTGTGAACTGTGATGCCATAGCACTCTACCGAGGGTGACAAGTAAGACTCTGTCTCAAAAAAAAGTTTGAGGTTGCTGTGAGCTATGACGCCACTGGCACTCAACCCTAGGGTGACAGAGTGAGACTGTTCTCAAAAAAACAAAAAAAGGGGAAACAGTCAAGTTCAAATCAACATAGTACAAAAGTTTAAAACATTCCAAACAAATGCTAATTCTTCACATATAGCCTTCAACTAAAGTTCTACTACAGATGAAGTCAGAAGTTGACCGGGAAAAGAACACTGACCTAGTAATAAAAACTATCAGTCTTAGTTGTGGTTCTAATTTTGTCCACTAACTGGCCTTAATGTATTCATTTAAAAAGCAATAATTAATCACCTCCTGACACATACTTTTCAGTAGTCATGAGAATCAAATGATAAATACATACACCCATTATAAAAAATATATAAAATGCTATACTTACATAAAATGTAGGAGATATTCCTCTTAATGCCAGCAAAAAAAGAGTAAAATTCATCTATATACATGTTTTTGTCAGACATTTTTCCTCCATTAAGTATCAATAACTAGTTCCTTGGACACCATTATAAAGGTGAGTTCCCCACTGTTCATAATAACACCACATTGTTATTCAAAGAGGAAAAACAGACCCCAGTCTTTGTAATAACTATGAAATCAAAGTTTCTAAAGCTATTAAAGGTAACAAGTAATAACCTGCTCTGGTTTTCTACCAGGAAGAAAATCTTATAAGTATGGAAAAGTCCACTGTTTACTAATCAAAAATAGTTAGCTACTTAATCCTTTAAAAAAACTGAACAGTCTCCATTTCATTTATTTGGTAAAGTCTCTATTTGTATTTGATAAAGACTTCCTGAATGGAGGAAAGGAGTATTCTGACATAAGACATCACTGAATGGAAAAGATAAAAAAGTTTTTGAAATTTCCAATTTCACTTATCTCACCTCCCTCCTCCCTTCCCCCAACCCAAACTGAACAACACAAAGATAGTAATAATCAAAATGATGGGTCTGACATTGCTACTGCTCTCCAGCCACCCGATTCATTCCTCAGACTTACGAGCTCTCACGCACATAGAAAACAAGAAGGGCACCAACATTTCATTAATATCTAAGACACCCAAATCACAAAGTGTTAAGAACTGGAAGGAACCTCCTGGGATCAAGTCCTTACTGACGAGGTCACTTACAGGCAGTAACTATATCCAACTGATGTTAAATGAGTTGCAGTATCTTCATACCAGAAGGAAAACCATCATACTAGCCAACTCTTGATTCTACTTTCCCTACCTACTTACACGGAAACTTAGGGCAAATCATTCAACCTCTTGGGATAGTTCGTCCTGTAATACAACAGCAAATAACAGAAGTTAGTCAAAATTTTCTGTACACCACAAAACAAATCCAATAGTGTATCTCTAGATGTGTCTACATACTGCAGGTCTACCGTAGGTGTTCTAATCAGTGAATGGAAGAATCTGAAGGTTTCACTGTTTTAAAAAGCTCCCGGTAATTCTGAGGACTGCCCCCAAATGAACTGATTAGCTCTTGAGTTTCATGAATGAGCTTCATGTGGTCCGTAGACTCTCCTAAAATTATATCCACAAAGTATAGGTACATATGGAAATTTTCCAGGCCAGCACATTTCTTTTAGTTTTGCCCAGAATTAGTAATCCTCAAAACGCTAAAAAGTAGCACACATCTGCTGAGTGTAAAGCTTCCATGGATCTTCCCCAAAATGGTACCACCATTCTCCTAACCAACTTGGATCGCAGTCACTTATTCTTGCTTCATTTTCCCTCTCATCAAATTTTGTCCATTTTATTTCTTTTCTTTTTTCCATTCCCATTACTACCACCATACCTCAGACCCTCCCCACCTGTGTGACCACAGCCATTGGGAAGTCTCCAATTCACTTTGTACACCTCAATTCCAATTCATACTACATACTGCTACCTGCTTAATCTTCCTAAAACAAAGTCTTAAAAATTATTTCCCTCTCAACTCAAAACATCTGTGGGATTTTCACTGCCTGATAAATCTAAGGTTGTTAGCCTGGCATTAAAAACAGTCCATAAACTGGTCCAAATTTTTACTTAAGTTTTATCACCCTTTATCCTGGCATAAGTACTTTATCTTCCACCCAAATCAATTACTTGCCTCTCCCCAAAGATATGAACTCGGTGCTCTCTTAGATCCTTCTGTTTGGATTACCTTTGCCTGTTTATTAAAGTTATAGTTATCCTTCAAAACCAAGAAGCCAGAAGCTCCCTCCTAACCCTACCTTGCCAAAAGAGATCCAAGCTCTAGCTCTTTTGCATTTGAATTCTGAGAGGATTTTTGTGTTGTTTAGGAAACTTAACTAGGTATTGAAAGGTAAATGGAGCATTTACGTGTAGTACTACCCACCTAGCTTGTCTGTGAAAGCAGAAACTTCTCATCTTTGTATTTCTCAAAATACCCTACACAGTCATGCAGTAGATGCTTAACAGTTATGCAAGGAAGTACAAGAAATTTCAGCCATCATGGGGTAAACAGCAAAGATTACTACCTCTTTGAAGGCAGAGGCCTTACTTGTGACATCCTCTATCATGCCAGGCTTCTAAAAACCATTAACTTTTAATTACTGTTTTTCAAAACCATGATGTTGTATCAGCAGTCCTGTATTTTAAAAGGAAGAACTATCTGAAAATGTATTGGAAATGTTAAGCTGTGTCCCAAAGAACTATTTCACATGCTTTAGACTTCTGAATTTGAGTACCTCCCAACACTTAGCTGCTACATTTTCAATTTAAAAAATATTAACTATTCATGAAAAGTGTTTCAGTCACAGCTAATTCACTACTTTAGGGCTAAAAAAGTCACAGAAATCAAAGAATGCCTTTATTTTACAAAAGGTGTATTTTACTTGCATAATACACACACAGTCGGTGAGACAGGTAACGCAGATTTAAATGTAAGAATGCACTCTTGCAAAAAACTCTAATGTGTATTTCAGGTAAAAACACCAAACGAGGAAAACAAAGATTAGTTTGGACATTATTTTCCCCACTACTATTACCAGTAGTATTTTAAAGCAGAAACTCAAATCTTGCTGCACAGTAGCCCACACAAAAAGATAAAAACTTACAAAATAGAAAACTAAATCAAGCCCCTGGGAAATATTTTATTCGGAAGGAGTCTACACAAAAAGACAAAAACTTACGAAACAGAGAAAGAAAACTAAATCAAGCCCCTGCTAAATATTTTATCCTGGAAGGGTAAAAATATCAAAACTGCAATAGATACTCCTCTTCGTTGGTTCATGAAGGTTTCATATAATTACCAGAGCAAAAAAAACCTCAACTCGGAATCGACAGAGAAAAGAAAGGACTAGGGACGAAACTGATCATTTACACGTTGTTAAAGCAAAGGGCAAACTACAAAATTAAAATTTGGGGACAAAAAAAGAGAAAAGATAACAGGAGAGTGTCCAAGTCACAAATGATAAGGACTGGTAAAATCTGCAAGGTCACTGGGACCTACCAGGTCATAAAAGGTGGAGGTGGGGGTTGTGTTGGAGGGGTGGGCTACAGAGTCAGAGAAGAACAGGGAGTGACAAAAACATAGCAGAAAAAGACATTCGAAGGCTGGAGTCCTTGGTTTGGGACACTGAGACTGGGGTGAAAGTCAGGGCACGAGGAGTGAGTCCATATATTTGGGTTTTGAGGGAGGTGTTAGGCAAAGGCAGAAAGGAAGAAAGAAGGCGCAGAGAAGACCGAGGAAGCTTGAGATCTGCGGCTGCAGAGTCACGGAAACACTTCGCTCCGCTCCAGTATCATTTGCACAGGCCTGTGCCCGGGCCAACTTGGGGCAAGACCCATGACCCCACCCCAGAAAACTCCGGGCTCTCGGGCTGGAGAAGGCAGCCCAGCTGCGCGGACGGACCCCCGGACCAACCTCGGCGGATCCCGTCCGGGGGCGGACCGCACCGCGGCGAAGGCTCCGGGCCCGCGCCCCCCGCCCATCCCCGCCCGCGCCCCCAGCCCCGCGCCGCGGCGTCCTTACCCGGCGCGAAGCTGTCGACTCCCGGCAGCCGGGCAGCCACGGCAGCGGCACCTCCTCCTGCGGCGGGCGCCCTCACCCTTCCGCGCCCAAGATCGCCATCTCGTAGGAAGGCGCGGCGGCGGCAACAGCCACCCAAGTGTTGGCCCCGGCAGCCCAGGCCGCCGGCAGACACTCGGAACCCGCACGCTGATCCAGCGGACACGCGACCCTCCCCCCACCCCCACCCCGGCCACGCGCCTCCCCCAGCCGACCCCACACCTCCCTTCTTCAGGAGCGCGCCGCGTGCTCGCCTCACCGGCGCCGCGCCCCGAGCGCGCGCCTTCGCGCTGGCCCCGGAACCGGGCGCTGCGCCGCGGCCGCCCAAAGCCTCTAACTCAGAACCCGGATCCGGCTTCCCCCGAGCATGCGCAGCTAGGGCGCTCCGATGCCGCAGGAGGAAAGCTCCGCTCCTCCGGGTCTTAGGGCCGTTCGAGTGGAGGGGGAGGGCCAGCCAATAGGAGAAGGGGGCGGGGCCCGAAGCCGTGGAAGGGGCGGGGCCGTCGCCGAGATTTGGGAGGAAGCTGCTCTCAACTCTAAATTCTAAACTCCGGCTGGGTGCTCCTGACTTGACTTTCTGGCCTAGAGCCAAACTCCGTGCACTATCTCGTCAGGTCCTCGGGGCACTGGCATTCTTCTCTAGAAGGGTTTGCAGCAAAAGTAGACTGTTAATAAATACTCCTTGATCTGAGTGTTTGACTTAGAACCCATTGCAGGAGTAAATAATGGCATTCAACAGATGGTCACAGGCAAGACTTCTAGCGCACTTTTATTAGTTATTTGCAAAACATTCACTCCCCCCAGCCTACCTCAGCCCAAAGCTAAAGCTAAGAGGAATTGAGCAAGTACATGTGTCAGCACGATTAATCATACTATGACGCCATAAGGTTGTGTCTATTATATCCATTATATTAAACAAGAGTTAACTGGTTTAGAATTGCTTTCAGAAGAAAAGCAACGCTGCAAAAAGTCAGTGGTGGCCACCTTATATACCAGATGACCCATTCTTCTACCTTAAAAAGACAAAGGCCTTCAGGCATGGATTTCTACAATTTTTGCCCAACCACCTCACCAACCCCCACAAATTATACCTGTATCTACACCCAAGCTTGCTAGTTTTCCTGATACTCGGTGGTTGGATGCCCTTGCTCCTCAAAGCAACCCTCTCTACTGCCTATTCTCTCCTGTGACCCTTCCTTGGCTTATTTCTAACTTTACTCTCTCTAATGGCTATAACTTCTCAGCATAATAACATTTTAAGAATTTTCCCTTAATTTTAAAACTCCTTTACGGTTCTCTTTCTCTTTCCATCATAAGATTTCTGAAAGAAGTGTGTGCCAAGGAGGGCACTGACACTGCATGAGTATTTGTAGGATTGAACAATGATGTCTTACCCAACAAATGCACATTCCCTACCACTCCAGGCAAGGTCTTGCCTTGTGACTTCACACCTGAATTTGGCGCACATTATATCCACAAAGATCATTCTAAAAATATACATCTGAGTATGTCATTCCATTACTTAAAAATCCCTTATTGGTTCTTCAGACCTTTCATGGCAACAATTAACATGAAGTTCAAGGTTCCTTTCGCGCTCATATGTTTTGTCTCTCCTATTTTGAAAAACTCCACACCTTCCTGTATGTGCTCACTCATTCTGTGCTCTAAACAGGTACTGTTTATGCTAAGTCTTATTTTACCATTTTTCTATCTGGTCCCTTTAAATAAATGCAACAACCGTGCTTACAAACACTCCTCATCAATTTCATAGTATCCCCAGCAGGAGTCTGCACTCCTCCTCAGTGTATGTTGGCTACTGCCCCTGACCTACTGTGTCTCTCTTTCAGGTCCCCTGCTTGCTCAGTTTCCCCCTCAGCTCAGCTCTATACAGAAGCTCTTAGTATTTACCTAGCCCCGGTCCCTAAACTGGCACCCAATATTAAACCAGCCTTTTGTTGGTGACTATTTCTTTAGTTTTAAGTGAGCACTATTAATAATAAATACCTTTTCATGTATCATTGTCCGTGACCTTATTTACTGTCTTAGGTTAAATACTTCAAAGCAATCAAAGGGTTGAACAAGTTTAGCTCTTTTGAAACTCATTGGCAAGTTGCCTTCCAGAAAGAACATAGACTCAGGTGTCAAATTGCTTGGGATTAAAACACAGCTCTGCCACCCAGGGCCACATTCTGACTTTTACAGGCCCTAGGCACATTTACCTTTCTGGGCTTCTTTCTCCATAAAATAATACTACAAGTGGTATTTTATAACTTTGGCTATAAAAGATTGTATTGGTATAAAGACAAATATATTGACATTATATATTAAATTTCCTTTAAACTAAACATTCTTTTTTTTTTGCCTTCTGATTTTATAAAGCAATCAAAACATTTCTGTGGGCCTCTATAAGTATCGTTACCCCAAGGCAACGTGCCTACTATGCCTAATGGATAACCCTATCCTGCTGCCACTTACGACCTATGAGATTTAGCCAAATTACTCAATCTGATTATACCTCAGCTAGAAAATTGGTGTGGTGCTTCCATTTGAGGTTCTTAAAAGTGAATAAGTTGCTATAAGTAAAATGCATAAAGAGACTTAACACCTAAGAATGGCGCATAATAAATTGTTGTTGTTATAATAGTTACAAATTTTCCCACAGCCCTATCTAAGACTATATGCCTGTGCTTCTTCAGTGTGCCCAAGTCATCAGGGTATATTTTCATCTGGGTAAACATGGTAGCTTATTGTTGGTCCACTGTCCATTTTCTTACTAAGAGTATTTACACAAGGGCACTTTGTACAATGTAGATATTGATCCTATGTAAAACTATGGGTCTTTTCATTTTTGTTCTCGTCCCTTGTTTTTTACTTTATAAATTTTTACCACCCTGAGATTATATAATTTATCTGCCTTTCTTATTTTTACTTGTTTGACAATTTTACTTTTTCCATTAAATAATTTAATGCTTTAAGATTTATTTTGGAGTGATGCTCGTCTATTTTTCATAATAACTCATAGTATCCCCAGCCCATTTGCTTAAAAAAAAAAAGTCTTTAACTGTAGTGGTTTTATTTTATTTTATTTATTTATTTTTTGAGACAGACCCTCAAACTATCCCCCTGGGTAGAGTGCTATGGCATCACAGCTCACAGCAACCTCCAACTCCTGGGCTTAAGTGAGTCTCCTGCCTCAGCCTCCCAAGTAGCTGGGACCACAGGTGCCTGCCACAGCCCGGCTATTTTTTGGTTGCAGCCGTCGTTGTTGTTTGGCGGGCCCAGGCTGGATTGGAACTCACCACCTTAGGTGTATGCTTAGCCACTTGAGCCACAGGCGCGGAGCCAACTGTAGTGGTTATAAAGGATGCTCACAAATTTTTTGATACTCCTGCCCTTGAAAAATGGAGCCTAATTCTCTCCCATGTGAATGTGAGCTGTAATTAGTGACTTCTTTTTAATAGATACAACATAGCAAAAGTGAGTGTATCACTTCCAAGGTCATAAGAAGGCACTGTGGATCCTCTTCCTCTCTTGATCAGATCATTCACAGCTGCTATGTAGCAAAGTTACAGCAAGCAGGCCAATGAAGAGGCCATCACAGCAAGGATCTGAGATATCTTGCCAACAACCAGTAAGGTCTGAGGCCTCCTGGAAATCACCATGTGAGTGAGACATCTTAGAAGGGCATCTTTCAACCTAAGTCAAACCTTCAGATGATTGCATCTTGACTACAACCTCATTGTAGACCTTGGACCAGAACCATCTGGCTAAAATACTCTCAAATTGTTCACCCATAAGGCTGGGCATGGTGGCTCATGCCTGTATTCCTAGCACTCTGGGAGGCTGAGGGAGGTGGATTACTTGAGTTCAGGAGTTTGAGACTAGCCTGAGCAAGAGTGAGACCCCCTATCCCTACTAAAAATAGAAAATCCAGCAAAGCGTTGTGGTAGGCACCTGTAATCCCAGCTACTTGGGAGGCTGAGACAAGAGAATTACTTGAGCCCAAGAGTTGGAGGTTGCTGTGAGCTATGATGCCACAGC